GTCACTGTCTGCCCAGGCTGGTTGTGTCTGGTGGAATGGCTTCCTTGGGTGGGCTAGAGGAATGAGTGCTCCCCTTCTTTTGATCGCCCCATCTGCCAGTACCTCCAGGTCTACCAGGGAGAAAGGGTGCCAGCTTCCTTTTTCGTGCCATTTGCTGGATTCCAGTCGTGCAGGACCAATGTAAGAGCCAGTTCCTGGGTTGCAATGTCTGAAGGGCTGAGTAGCTCGGGTTAAGATATTGTGCTAGTGGTGTGACTATCACAAGCTCTGAACAGCGAGTACTTCTGATACTCTCGCTGTACAACTGCATTAGCCAGTTTCTGAAAAAGCCAACAGCATAATCAATGAACTGAGGAACAGGTGACAGTATGAGCACAGTCAACATGGGCAATAGTGGATCAGGTGCCATCAATCTCTCCAAAAATGACAGTTTGCCAAAATAATTGGAAAATTCAGCCCTTTATTTCTTTAATAGCTGAGACACAAACTGGGGAAAAGCTTTCCCAGACAACAGTCATTTGAAATGGATTGAACATATAAAACACTGCAGATATTTGGACAAGATGTCCAGTCAGTGCTAATATTGCACAACAGAGGATCATAGGTTGCTTCATCAGATCCCATTTTCCAGAAAATCTCATCTGACAATAAAGGTGCATTGAGTAAATAATCCTATCTGAAGCTTATTAAGGTCACCTTTTTCAGCTATACTCATTTTCAGTTTTGAACACAAAAATATTTATTTCTTTCACAATAGATGGAACATATTTGGATTGCGTTTTTATATTACCTTACCTTTAACCATACTGTGGTATTCTTAGACAGCCTGATATCTCTTGATAAATACAATATCGTGATCCTGCAATGCAACCTCATCAAACTAATGCAGCTATAGAGACTTACAGAGTGATTCAATAAGATTTAGACAAAGAGGGTAATCCTTTCTGGTCAAATAGCATCAAACTTTAACAAAGTAATATGATTCATCTTCAGCAATGCCTTAAGGCATTCTTCTTCACAGTTACAAATACCTCAACTCTTCAAGTTAATTGAATAGTCTATGCAAAAGAACGGTGAAAGTGCAAACAGATGGCTGATCTGAAGGCTTAGCTTGAAACATTAGCTGAGTAGGGGGTTAACACTTAGACTAAGAAAGGATAAAGTTTTCAATCCTGTTCCATTAGCCTAAATAGACTTATTCATGCTGCAGTATATATTCAATATCTCATATGACTTCACAATCAGCATAGCATTTCATCTGCAATTCCACTTGCCTACGGTAACTTTTTTTGTTCAGTTATACATTTCTAGAAATTACAATTACATGCGACTAATTAATAAGCTACAGAGTCAACTATTCCGTAACATTTAACTGCTAACGACCAATATGTCTGAGAACCCCCCAGTTTGTGCGCAGATATTCTCACTGATCCTTTTGGTCGTCTTTGGGTTTTACTGCATTTTGAAAGGAGCTTCTTTCACAGCATTCAGCTGGTGGTACATTCTGGGAGCATCCTGTATGGTAGCAGCTGCCTTCACCTCCTTCCGTATTTATGAAGTATGTACACTGGCATCACATCAAGACACTGCTTCAGAACTCTCTTCAATGAATTCTTAACAATAATGAACCGGAGACTGGTTTGCCAAATCTTAATAGATCAAGCAGAAAAGTAACAAGACTGTGTGGACTCTAGCTCTGAGTAACAACCTACTTGGCAACTTCTTAACTTATTTTGAACCTGAGGTGCTGGTTCTTAGAATGGTATGTGATATACAATGTTCTAAACACTGGATTGGTATGATATATTAGGTTTTGTTTTTTTTCCATGGGACTTGGCAAATCTTTGGAAACCTTTTCATTTATTTTAGCTCCTCATGCCTTACATCCCTTCTCTGAATTCTCTGTTGTTCTGACTTTAGCCTTATCTGAATCCTCCCATCCCTATATTATTGGTGACCATGCCTTCAAGCACCTTGCAGTCTGAATTTACTTCCTAAATGTCTCCACATCCCCATCTTTCTCTCATACTTTAAGACGTGCTTTGAGTAAATTTTTGATTATCAATCCTATAGTTCTTAATTAACTTATTCATTCCTGTCTGATTATGCTTTGATGAAGAACCTTAACAAGTTTTTCTGTCTTAAAGATGCTTTACAATTATGTTGCTGTAACTTAGAAGATCCAACATAAAAATTCTTTCAAGAGGGAACAAATTGCTACAGATGCTGGAATCTGTACTGAAAACAGAAAATGCTGGAAATCGCAGCGGGTCAGGCAGCATCCATGGAGAGAGAGCAAGCTAACATTTTGATTCTAGATGACTCTTCATCAGAGGTGAGGAGGGATCCTGCCTACTGAGTACAGATTGTTTGGAAATGGGTTGCATTATATTATCAATCAAGTTTATTGCAAATCTGTATCACTCGGCATAATTTCTAATAATTGTTATTTTTCTCTGTGTCAAATGGCATGTTAACCATTATTATTGTATCCTCTTCTCCATAACTCAGCTATGGGTGCACTAAAGTGAGTCATTATTGAAAGAATCTGTCAATACAAAGTTTAATTTATCTCACCCTTTAGTCAAGTTGCTTTAAAAAAAACCTGCAAAACCCAAGCAACGAAAGGTATCTCTCAAAAATTATGATAATTATAGCTGTTTAAGTAAAGGAGTTTCCCCTAGATAGTGTGTACTATTTTCCTCAATCAACATCACTATTGACAGGTTGTCTGCTCATTAACTGACAGCCGCTTTTTTTCCTACAGTGATGACACTGCTAAAGTATATTGTTTGGTTATACAGTTCTTTGGGATATCCTGCAGTTGTGAAATATGTTATATAAATTCAAGCTTTTTGTTATGTTGTAAATTGCAAATGATTATGAAAATGAATATTATGGTTTTGGAATATTAACAAAGGTTTCAATTGTAGTGCCACCTTCCGGAAAGATAAGGTGGCTTGTTTAGTCTATATTAAACCATATCAAACTTACTTAAGTGTAACTAAGAATTGCCATGATCTCTAATCAAAATGCAGATCAAAATTGAAACATATTTGTACACTGTACACAAATCTTTGTTTTTTGGTGTCAGTTTTAATTTCTCTCATTTCTGCTTTCTGTTGTCCCTTTGCTTCTTGCTGAGATATTGTTCTACACATTCAAGTCACCAGTCTGGTCATTGCTTCTAGGAGAGTCTCAACCATGAGTATTGCCAGACTCAATGAGCTGTGGATAGAAAATCATTCTTTATATCTGTCACTTTCCCAGCCCTTCGAGACTCTTGAGAAAAAAAAACACATGCATCACCTTTTCAAGTTCAGGGTTCCAGATCCCAATAGCACTCCATGTGAAATCAGTTTCTCCCACCAACCTTTGAGGCCTTTTGTCAATGACTTTAAATTTCTGACCTCTGGCTATTGACCTGGTCACTGGAGGGAATAGCTTTTCCCTTGGTCAATTTCATGAAAACCTCAAAATCTTGAAAACTTCTAATAGGTCAGCTGTTAGCCTTCTCTGTTCCAAGAAGAACAAACCTAATTTTTCCAACCATTATTTGTAACTGAAGGCCCACATCCTTACATCAACCTCTTTCTTCAGTTCTCCTCCCTCTCCCTTGAGTAAGCAACTCTTCGATTTCTGTTTACATCATCATCATTGGCGGTCCCTCACGGATGAGGATAACTCTCTTCCACTCTAAGCCCGTAGGTGGTTATACAGACCAACGTGGCTTCTGCAGGCTCTGTTATACTTGGGGCAGAAGGTGGTTGAGGGAAGGGGTGGGTGGGCATTGGTGTGGCAGGACACTCCTTTCACTGCTTTTGCCTGGCTTTCACTTTTTCCCGAAGGCAAGTCTTGAGATGTTCAACACCTTCCAGGATGCTCCTCCACTTTGGACAGTCTTGGGCCACTGATTCCCAGGAGTCTGTGGGAATACGGCACTTCAGTGAGGCCTTGAGGGTATCACTGAAGAGCTTCCTCTGTCCACCTAGGGCTCACCCTCGCAGCCAAGTGTTTTCATTAACAACTCCTGAGAGTCCAGCGTTTTATAAACCCCTCCCCAACTAAGTGTCAGTGATTTTATTTCTGTTTACAATGCTATATATGATTTGCTATTTTATTAATGTCATTGTTCAGAGCCAAGTGGTGACTTGCAAGGTTTGTATGCAATATTCCTTTAAGATGAGATGTTGATTAAGAATTCTTTAAACAGTTTTCAACCTTTCAATGTTTAACCCTTTAACAAACTAAAACTCCTGCCCCTAACCATGAGTTACATCCTGTGACCAGTGGGAACTATGAAGAATTATGTATTGAATAGGTACAATTTAATAAGATTGATTAGCTCAGAAAGAAGCTGTTTGGCCCTTTGTACCTATGCCAGCACTTTAGAGTTACCCTTTGGTCTCACTCACCTTCCTCTTTCACTAAGTCCTGCACTGTTTCTTCCCTCGAGTACTTTTTCAGTTTCCTTTTCAATGTTACTATTAAATGTTTTTATGAAGTAGCTCAATCCAGATCCCATAACACACTGAATCTCCTTATCATGCCCTCTTGAGATTTTACTAATTATTTTAGACCTTTGCCGTCTGTTATCTGATTCTCTCTTACTGAAAACAGTTTTTCATTATCTGTTTCAGCGATAGTAGGAACTGCAGATGCTGGAGAATCTGAGATAACAACGTGCAGGGCTGGATAAACACAGCAGGCCAAGCAGCATCAGCGGAGCAGAAAGGCTGACGTTTCGGGCGTAGACCCTTAAGTCTGCTCATGCATATTATAACACTCCTCCAAAAACTGGTTAGGACACTGTTCTCCCATTACTCTATATCAACGCCCGTCATTTTAGTTTTCGAATTAAGCTTTTGTTGAAAAGTACACGTAGTTCCTTCAAAGTTGTTGCTCATTAATTAAAGAAGGGGCAGGTGTTTTCCAACTGTTGTTAGGATAATTGAAATCATAACGTGTGTCGTTTATTCTACTTAAGCCAAATGATGGAGCTTATGGTTGTGGTGTAGTTGGGAGCGGGGGAGGGTTAAGCTTCTGGGAGAATGTTGCGCTCCACTGGTTGTTTTCGTTCGGTCATCTGTCCCTTCTCTGGCCGTGGCTCCTGTCAGCGGCGTTATTGTCATTTTAAACATGAAGGGCAAACGGCTGAGACAGTCTTAAGGCCGCAGGGTAAGGAAAGGTGAATGGGTTAGACAACAGAGACAAGACTAAATGTCGGACGCCCTAACGAAACGTACACAATTTCACCTTTTTTTTTTGGAAAATATGTCCATCTCTTTGAAACGAATGTCACTTCTCCCAAATCAATTCAGGGTTTTCTTCTAAATGATGAGTGTTTCAGTCTGAATAACTTGATATACACACACAACTTCTCTCGCTTACCCCCTTTCAATTGGGAGTGAGGAATTCTTTCTGATCTTTGTCCAAAAGGTTGCGGTCCTGAAATATTTTTAAATTACTTTAAAACTAATTCTCCTTTCCATTGGTCCTTTTCTCGTAAAACATCAGCAAATGGAATTTTCTTCGTTGCTTAACTACAATACTGAGCATAGCCCAGTGTTACATGAAGACCTACTCCCATTATAGTCACGAGTGTACCATAATCTAACAGCACGCTGCCACTGCCCTATTGAGAATGTGGTGTTGCCTCTGATTTGATAATAAATGAAGGCCCTTGCTACTTTGTAAAATATTCTATGGCACTATTTTTGACGAGAAGGTGAGTTCTTTCCTGGAAGCCTGCTCAGTAACCATCTCTCAACCAACCCAATTGAATCTGATGGTCACCTCATTAAAAGTTTGTGTAAATAGACTGTTGTATTTCCTACCTTTACAACATTTTTGAAAGTAAAATACCATGGAATGTCATGACAGATGCTATATAAGCATAAGTCTTTTATTCAGTTGTGTCTGATTATTTTTTAATGTACTCTGATCAAATGTCTAATTGTATATTATGCAATTCTTGACAAAGTGTATTGGTGCAATGTTGTGACTCGTTTCCCTGTTATTTCATATGAGAGGAGAGTTTTTCTGTAATTTGTGTATATTCTATTTAAATATTTATTTTGCTTGACCCTTAAGGGATGGTGCCTTAAAGATTACTGTTAACGATGTAAATTATGACCTTGTGTGGTAGTACTGATGTGTGCTGTACAGTCAAAAGGGTGAAACTCGGGAGGAGAATGGAGTGTGGGGTGGGGAGTAGTACTGAGGGTGCACTGCAATGTTGAAGCTGGTATGTTTTAGCCGAGATTAGAGCGAATGGATGGGACCTCCATTTAGTGAATCTAAATGATTTTGTTGTGTTATTTTAAAAGTCAGTTTGCAATGTTGTCTGGCCATCATGTATTTTCTAATCTGTTTAGTGTGCAGTCCGAGTTGAGCCTGTATGAATTTTTGATGTTTTTCATCTTGTTTGTATTTTAGGTTCTGGGAAGATTCTCAGCTGTGGTGAGTAGAATGTCACATCAAAACTAATCAAATAAGACTAGAAAATTTCTGCTTGTGAAGACATCATAATATTTATAAACCTATATCTGTATCAATATAAACCAATGAGCTGAAATTTACCATCCTGGTGTTCATAAGTAGCATCAAATTGCTGATTCACCCCTGTTTGTTTGAATACATCTACGATGATTTCAATACTGGGTATTATCAACTAGTACATTGATTAGGAATATTGACTTATTTCATTTGCCAATCTCTTATTTGGATTTCTTACCAAATGAAACAGAAGAGTAATAATATCTTTGGTGTTTAGTTACAACTGCAGCATGAATTTGATTTTACTTATCTAGGGATTCTATTTTTTTTAAAAGTTATAAAGTGTGGAAGCAGGCCATTTGGCCCATTTTGGTCTAGCTATTTGATAATGAGTCCATGAAAACAATTGAATTGGTAATGACATTTTTAACAGTAAATCATTTTTGCTAAGCTTTTGTGTTGAGTGAGAAGAGTTTTATTTGATTTTGATTTTTAAATTTCCATGTTACTTTTCTAATCCTGTGTACATATCACCTGATGCAGATGCTCCAGAGTCTACACCTCTTAATCCTTTGGAAAAGAAATGCGATCAGCCAGTGTTACTGGAAGCTGCATGCACAGTACTAGAGTTAGAAAAGGTCAGCAAAGCAATTGAGGTAGTCAAGACTGAGGTAGAACAGCAACAACAAAAGTTAATGATGTACAAGTCTACCTTGAAATGTCAACATTACAACACTCAAACTCCAACCAGTGGCACAATGAGCTGTGCATCTTTGAGTATCAGTGCAATAAATACTTTGACACCCACAACAGCAAACTCTACCTCTGCATTTGTATGTGAAATACAAGATATTCACTTAAATAGTGTGACATGTAATCCAGTCATGGTACCTAACTGTTCTTTAAATGCACGTAGAGTTAATTCCTTAACTGAAGCTACTGAAATGGATACAATCCAGGAGATGCCCACGACTAGTTCAAAGAATATTGACTCAGTTTTGAATAAGTATGTGATTGACTGTAAAAAGCCATGTACTGATTTAGAATATGATCCATTGGTAAACTATTCTTCCAATATGAAGCAGAATCCCAAGAAAGATTACATCGAGGAAAAACAGGAATTTAAGATGGTTGAACAGAGTCCTGAAATGAAATTCTCTCCGGCAACCCAAACAGCAAGGCATTCTCAGCCCTTTGAAGAAGAGTTGAGCTCTGATGATGAACTTGTCATTGATGTGCCAGAGTTGCCTCCACTCACTCAAAATTCTCCAGTCCACAGAAGTTGTGAAATGAAAGGAAACGATACCAATGCTTCAACTCTCAGCTTAATCCGTAAAGTACGGCAACCAAGAATTGTGGAGTCCATTGACTCGTTGGAGGTGGGAAGATTGGACAATTCATTTGCTAGAAACTTCATGGCAGAAAATAGCAGCAAGAAGGAACTGAAAACTGGTAGTTTGCAAAGAGAAATTTGTGACTTAATTGAGAGTAGCAAAGTGTCCAATGTAACACATGATCAGATAGATATGGTTGGTAAACACCTTGATGTTTCAAAGCATATTTCCAAAGCCAAAGTAATAGAAGGAGCATTGAAACCAGATCTGGTTGAAGGAGATTCTGTTCCTCTTGTCAATGCTGATAGAGCTAAATTGTCAAATCAGAAATGTAGAAGTTTGTGTGAATCTCTAAAATTAGAAGTGAATGTGCAAAAATATGAAACTGAAGAGCAAAGTTCAATCAATTTGAACAGTTTGAAAAGATTGAGTGACAAAGCACCTCTGGTTGAAAGCAATATTGCATCACTCAAACTTGAGAAACATGTGCCGCTCTCTGCAATAACATATAATAGACCAGAGACTGCAAACAAGAGCAAATGCACCAATAAATTGGAAACTAGGCAGAGTACTGACCAACAAAGACCAAAGGTACAGAGCCAAGATGACCATTTTGGTAATGAAAAGCAGGCTGAAAGTTTTCAAATGACAAGTGATAACGATGAAGAATCCTCACTTTCTGATGAAGATTTGAGTTCTTTGGTTTCAGAGGAGTTGGACTTCTCTGAATCAGACCCAATGGAAGAGTGCTTGAGGATTTTTAACGAATCTGCAAAACAGGAAACTAAAGAGAGTGAGATGGATGCTGTACAGGTATGTTTCCACAATATGTTTGCAGTGGATTTGTGTGGAAGAAGGGTGGAAAACTGAAATGATTGAGCAAGTATTTAATAAGATATTCCACATCAATGAATGGGGCACAGCCAAAGTATTCCAGTTGGTCAGTAATCCTTTGACTGAAAGTCGCACCCATGTAATTGGCCAGATTTTCATTAGAATAGAAAAAGTACACAACAATCATGTAGATCTGTATCCATTACTTAAAATTGCTGCAGGAATTAAAAACGTAACTTTTAGGAATATTAATTACTGGACTTCATTTCCACACACTTGTGCACTGATCTTGACTAACTAAGCCTCATTCTGCATGCGTAAGTCCAGGCTTCTCAAATCCATATTGAATTTAAATCTTGAATTTGAATTTTCAAAGACAAGTTGGAAAAAGTTGCTCAGGAAAGCAATTTAATAAGAACTCTTTTATTTTTGAGTTTGAAATCTAGCACCAGTGGTTTAGATATTTGAAGGTGTTTTGTATCAGGTTATTACAATGTGTGCTTTTAAGAGGGATAAATTTTTTTTAACACTTTTATCCTTTTAAGCTTTGGGCACTGTTTGTAACAGATAATGGACATGGTGCTGTACTCATGTTAAACTCCTGACTTGCACGAAGTCTGATCAATTACCCATGCGCTCACTGACCTACATTTCGCTCCTTTACTACCAATCTTTCATGTTTCTTATCCTTGTGGTCAAATCTTTCCATCGGTTCACCCTGCCCACCCTTCTATTCAAGATGAGCCTGGACTCTGACCTTTTGTGCACTCTGCTGTGTTTGTTGCATTTTACTTTTGCTCCACTAGAGGTAACCTTTAACTGCCTAATCCTAAGCATTGGCATTCTGTATCTCTCTTCTTGCAATATACTCTTGAAAAACAACTTATTTGATCAAGCTTTTGCACATTTGCCCATGTCAAATGTTAAGATTCATGTAAAGTGCCTTAGAGTATTTTAGCACCTTCAAAAATGTACTAAATAAATGCAATTGTTGTATAAGAGATGGCTTCTGCAGAATTTAACTTAACTGCATTAGAGACAACTTTACTATGCAAAGCCTGTTTTTATTCAAATATTTTTATCACCTATGCTTGCAACCAATTTTGGTGACAGTGAGTATTTTGGTTAACTTTGAAAATCCTTTATATACTGGAATTAAGACCCATTTTAATGCTTGGTTGAAATATTCACTACTTTGCCTGATCTAAAAATGGTTTCAAGCTCTAATTTGTGGATTTAGACGTTTTTAGTTTAGCTTTATTGGTTGAATGGCTGCTGCCTTCGCTTTAACAATTGTGATTCTCTTTGAGTGTAGAATACCTTTTACTTTGTCTAATTTTCTTACTGTCTGAATCTATTTGACAGATGTCAGTTTCTTCTAGAGTTTTCCTGAGTGTTAACTAAAACAATTAAAATTTGGGAAACTTTTAGATAGTAATCCTAACTTTGTTCTTTCAACCCACTTCCTACAACATAAAGGCATCCAGCGGGGAGGATGGATCTGTACATGGTAGCAAGGAGCAGGAAACCTAGCTTTCTCCCATAATTAGTATCCCTGACTGAGAATTGGTAGAGATTTCAACTTGAACTGAAACACCCTTTGTTTATGTGGGAAAGTTTGTATTCTTTCCATTCGTAATCTGTCTAATGATTTGAAGTGACGTTTTTCCGTTCCTTGCGTTGAAAAGTCCAAGTGAATATTTTAAGTGAACAAGTATTGGAAGACTTTTTTTATTCTTGAATTGGTAAGATCGGTGTACACATAAAACCCACTGAAACCTGACAAGGCTTCTGAGTAGCTGTGTCATGAGCAGACTTTTTGATCAAACAGACTCACTTTAATTAAAGCAGTTAATTGTTTGCCACAGTACTTGCTTGTTTTGAACACTCTTAATTTAAAAGGTTAAGGCATAGTTGTCTCGGATTTTGGATTGTGCAAATAATTTGAGTATTACTACTGTGATCATCATTTTGTGACATTGTTTTGAGTGCAAACAATGAATGTAATGACATTGAACATTCAGTATCACTGGTATCTGTTCCACCTTTTGTATATATCTTTAGAATACTCTTTCAAAAACCTATGAAAATATTCAAGATTCTGGGATTGCAGGAAGCGCCAGCACAAAACAAAAGAGGAGGATTGCACATGTTGCAAAATTTAATAAGGTGGATATTTAGTGCCTTTTTCAATGTTTTACACCTGTAATCTAGGAACTTGTAGACCAAAGCAAATGTTTGTGATGAGGAGCTTAATATAGTCTTACCCAGAGGTATTCCATTTATAATCCAATCTTAAATCACCTGAATAACCAACTTCCCTTTTGAAATAAACGTTTAGCAATGTTTTTAAGAAATAATTCTGTTTTTCACTGAAAATGTCATGTTATCGATGCATATGCAATGTTCATCCGAATTTATTTGAATGTCACTCTGCCACTTAGCCAAATCTTACCACATTATGACTATGCATGCCAAACTAGCAGAACAGATTGTTATGCGACTATCTTTTTTTTTTGTTGTTAACAATGTTATCGCCATATAATGGAAGACTGCAATAGCTTCATATTTGGCCAGCAAAAGCATTGCAGTCATTGACAGGTCATGTGAAAGACCACTTGTTGCAACTTGAATCCGAGTAGAATTGGAAGAGTTCTACACGTTCTAGAGACTCATCGTACATGTGTACACGAGCATGTAAATTATTTCCCCAAGGTGAGAACTGTTAGTGTTGGGAAGTACAATTGCTTCCACTTCAGATGCCCTGTATCAGCATCAAAAGTTGCCATTTGGATTAGTATGGTGTTTTACTTGGCTTTCATCTGAGAATGTACCTCTGAGATATTTACCTTGTCCTTTATTAACTGGGCAAGGGTAAGTTTAAATCAGGGTTCATGAATAATCTTTGGAGTATGTGTTCATTTCTCCATTTCTTTAAATCTACCTCCAACAATTCCGCTCATTTAGGATTCTGTAGTAAACTTGGAAGCCTTGTCATACTTGCATGGTTATTTGAGCAAGGGTTATTGAGTGTCTGATTCTATTAGACTGGAAAGATAACAATTTGGACAGAGTTGCTTTGAGTATTGATGGTTATATCAAGGAAAAGAACATTTGAGAATGGCTGATACAACACTAATATTCTGGCGTAAGAAGGTGGTGCTGGAGAAAATTGGGTCTGGCAATATCTCTGGAGAAACAGTTAATGTTTAGGGTGCAATATTACTTCTTTGTAACTGGATGCATTCAAAGAAGCATCCTGTTGAATTCGAGGTATTAACTGTTTCTCTCTGCTCAGATGCTGCCAGATTTAGGACTTTTTCTGCTTTTTTCAGTTTCAGATCTCTGCAGTACTTTTTACATTTTCCAGTACTCTGGTACTTTGGGTAATGTACTATCTTTTTTTGAGAAGGCTATTGGAGACCTGGCCAGATATCTACTAAATGAATTGTGTATGGGTTCTATGGACTAAGAGGATCACCTTGACCTCCCATCATGTCACCCCTTTTGTTTTTGCTTTTCAACTTTTCCTCCTTTTCCATGAAATACTTGCCAAAAAAAACCTGTTTTTATTGGATCAACCTGCAAACTATTTTCAACTTGTGTCTATAATTCAGTGCTAGTGAAATAGAGAACATTTTTCCAGTTAGTGACTTAGCACAAATTGGACAACTTTGAAGCACATTAAGATTTGGGTGAATGAATTCTATCCTGGGGTCACATCCATGTTTCATTTGAATAATCTTGCTTTGAGATGGTGTTTCTTTTTAAAATTTATGATTGCCAGTTTTGATTGTGTATATTTGAAAACTCTTTAATAGAACTGCTCCTTTTATTTACTTTTTGAAAGGGAAAATCTAGCTTTAACAGGATAATTGTTCCTCAAGCTCTACCACTGCCAAAACAGTCATGTCACAATCGGATTAAAATGGTCCAGCAACAGGCTGTGCAATTGATGGCAAATGTGAAAAGTGCTCAAGTTTATAAAGCTACGGTTTCTAAATCTTCTGGCCAGAAGAGGCTGACTGCAAAAGGATCAAAACCACAACCAATCAGTGCTGCAAAAGCAGGTAATGCTTTGGGATTTGGTGTCTGGATTAATTGAAAGGTCCAATGCATTTCCTTTTTGAGCTTTTCAGATAATTAATACTCAACATTGTAACAAAAACAATCTATGCTAGCAATGCCCATATTCATAGAGAAATCAAGTAAATGTTTCAAGTAATTTTTCCTGTGTCACCACGCAACAGTCCAGTTGTTTGTTTGCTCAAAGCTTTAAGTATTGTCCTTGTTTTTGCTTGGGTAAACATATGCCAAATGTTAGTAAAAGGTCAGTACCCTGAAATGTAGTAACTGTCTTTCTTCCCACAGATACTGCTTGACTTAGAGTATTGAGTATTTTCTGCTTTTATTTCAGATTTTCAGCATCTGCAGTATTTTACTTCTAATATCTTAAATTATTTTTAACTTATTGGCTTTGCAGGTAACTTTTTACGTTGGGTGGCAAAAAGTTAGTTTTTGTAAATTTTGTTTTTTTTCCCCTGGCTTTTAAGTGTTCACAACAAGAAGTGCTGCATGTCTGATATCTTGAGCTTGTTTGTTCCCTAGTTTGAAGGAATTCACATAATTATGACACTGAAAGAAAGTCAAATCCAAACAGTCTTTCTACTGCTGTATTTACAACACAGTAAAATTAAAACGTTCAAAGAACCTCAATGGACCCCAATAGTTCCTAATGTCAGGACGTTTTGAATAACCGAGCCCTGACTCTAGACATTAGGTTTGCAGCTTAAAAGACTTGACGACTACTAATAATACAGTAACTTTAGCAGAGCAAAATCAAGCATGATCAAATTGGCTATGATTTAAACTTAACAGCCTTTGTTTTCAGACCCACTCTCTCAAAAGACAGGTAAACGCGCACAGTTGAGATAAACCTTAAAAACAGCAACTGGCCAGATTAATTCAGCAGTTTTCACGATGCATTGTTCCAGAGGAAAGGATTGACATTGGGAAAATCAACAAAAAAAAACAAATTGGGCCACCTTTTTCAGTGAACTTTGAGGAAGTTTCAGTAATACTCAAACTTAGTTTCTATTCTCTGAACTGCCAATATGTTTTGGCAGGGAGCTTTCAAATCTTGGTGAACCATCAACAGCTAGACTCCCCTGTCTAATAAACCAAGTCCAAAAACCAGTCCAAACTCTGGCCCACCTCTGTTTGACCATCATGTTCTATCCCAGACTTTCTGGCATCAATTCTCAGGTACTGACCTTGTTTAATGGCCAAACAACTATCTTGAACACATTGCTTTCCCAGTGTCAGAGTCTATGGAATTTTTTGATAACAACCAATCTGCAACTAACTTTTGGACCTTGTCTCTCAATCAACAGTTTGTGTTCTTTGTCTTTTAAAGAAAGATCAAAGCTGCTGGAAGTCCAAAGGGTCTGCTGTCACCTCAATTCTCGGTTCATAGCTCCAAACCAAAATTGAAAGCATATAAATCTTGCGATGAGTAAGGGTTCTAACATGTTGGACAGTGGTTAGTTTTTAATCCTCTTTCTGGAATTTGGCATAACAGTAGTTATGGTCCATCTACAATATCCCCAATTAAATTCTTTTAACCCAGCGTTGTTTCAATTGACACTGAAATTCTACAGTGTTGTCTTAAATGACCAGGTGACTTGCAAATAATGCAATATGGTTCCCAGATCTGGAATGCTCACCTCTTGCACCCTACCCTTTTGGTAAGGGGCTATGAAGAAAACACTTTTTAAATGGAGTTGATGAAATTGATGGAATTTAGGGCTGATAAATCCTCAGGACCTGATAATTAAAATCCCAGTGTACTTATGGAAGTGGCTCTATGAATAGTAGATATATTGGACATGATCCAAAATTCCAAGATAGAACAGTTCCTACAGATTGGAGGGTAATTAATGTAACCCCACTCCCTTTAAAAAAGGGATGTAGAGAGAAAACAGGGAATTATAAACTGGTGAATCTGACACTGTCAGTGGGGAAGATGCTAGAGTCCATTTACCAAGGATTTTACGGCCGAGCAGGAAACAGTGGGAGAATTAGATACAGTCAGCATGAATTTACAAAAGGGAAATCATGCTTGACAAATCTACTGGAATTCAAGTCTGTAACTTATATCATTGATCGGGGAAGCCATTGGATGCGGCTTATTTGGACTTTCAGAAGGCTTTTGATGAAATCCCACATAACAGATTTATGTGCAAAATTAAAGCATGGGATTGGGGGTAGTGCATTGAAATGGATGGAAAATCAACCAGCAGACAGAAATCAGAATTAATTAGTCTTTCTGATTGGCATAATGTGATCAGAAAATTGGTACTAGAACCCAGCTATTCCCAATATGTTAATGGTTTAGATGAGAATTTGAGATATTACATTTAGATGCGTGAAAGTTGGGTGGAAGCGTGAGCTATGAGGAAGGTACAGAGATGTTGCAGTACGATTTGGGCAAATGCTTTACAGATGCAGTTTAATGTGGATAAATGAGAGATTTTCCACTTTACTAGTGGAAATAGGAAGGCAGATTATCTAAGTGGCTGTAACTTGAGAGGGGTATGTTCAAGACCTAGGTATCCTCATGCACCAGTCACTGAATGTAAGCATGCAAGTATGCAGCAGGCAGGGAAGAAGTCAAACTGTATGTGGCCTTGAAAGCGAGAGGACTAGAGTGTAGAGATAGTGGTGAGGCCACACCTGGAATATTATGCAGTTTTTCCCTCTTTATCTGAGGGAGGATGATTTGGCTAAGGAGGGAGTGCAATAAAGTTTTACCACAGGCAGGACTGACATACAGAGAGAGACTGGTTTGGATGGACTAGATTCACTAAGTTGAGAAGAATGAGGTAGGGGATGGTGAAAATCTTGTCTATTCAGGTCTATAATTCCCAGGTTTGTCTTTGCAGCCCTTCTTGAATAAAGGCACAACATTTGGTACCCTCCAGTCTTTCGGGACTTCACCTGTGGCTAACGACGATGCAAATATATCAGCCAGAGCCCCTGTAATTTTCTGTCTAGTCTCTTGTCAGGTTCTTGGAAACAACTGGTCAGGACCAGGAGATTTATCCATCTTCATACATTCTAGTACTTCCAACACCACCTATAGTGTGATACGGACTGTCCCCAAGATATTGCCACTAGCATCCCCAAGTTCCCAATTCATCTGGTCTTTCTCCATGGCGAGCACAGGAGAAGTATTCATTGAGGATCTCTTGCAGTTCCACACACACATGTCCATTTTGGTCCTTGAGGGGTACTATTCTCTCTAGTTATTTTCCTTTAACATACTTAATCTCTTTAGATCCACCCTAATCTTCTCAGCCAAAGCTATCTCATGCCCTCTTTTTGCCCTCCTGATTTTCCTTCTTCAGTAAACTCCTGTATCCCCTATATACCTCCAGGGATTTCCTTGATTCAAGCTGCCTGCTCCTGAGCCATGGTTCTTCCTTTTTTCTTGTCGAAGTCTCAATACCTCTTGTTAACCTTACTCTTCCCCCAGAAGGGAACATATAGATCTTGAACTACAGCTATCACACATTTAAAAGCCTCCCACTTGCTGGAGGTCTCTTTGCCTGCAAACAAACTATTCCAATCAACCCCTGCAAGTTCCTGTCTAATTCCATCAAAATTCACCTTGCCCCAGTTTAGAACCTGAACCTGTGGACCGATTTGGTCCCTCTTTTTGTAACTATTTGTTCTATTAATTTTAAATCTTCCCTAGACCCAAAGTGTTCCCCCACTGTCACCTCAGTCACCTGTCCTGCTCTATTTCCCAAGAATAAGTCAAGTTTTCCCCCTTCCCTAGTAGGACCCTCTATGTACTGTCTATGTTAGGAAAATTAAAATCCCCCACTATGACAACTCTATTGCTCCTGCAAGTCTCCCTGCATATTTGTTCCTCTAATTCCTGTTGACTACTTGGGGGTCTGTAGTACAACACCAATCATGTCACCATCCCTTCCTTATTTCTTAGCTCTACCCACAAAACCTCACTGGATGATCCCTCACCTGACTACAGCTGTGATACTCCCCTTAATCAAAAAATGCAACTCCCCTCCTCTCTTGCCTCCACCTCTGTCCTGCGTAAAGCATCTATATCCTGGCACAGTGAGCTGCCAGTCTTGTCCCTCCCTTAGCCATGTTTCTATAATGGCTGTAATATCCTAATACCACGTACCTATTCAGGCCCTGAGTTCATTGGCCTTACCGGTCAGCCCTCTTGCATTGAAACAGATGCAATTTAATCCAACAGGCATTCCTTGCTTGCTACCTGTCTTTTCAACTTGTTATTTCTGATCACTGTATCTTCTTCCAGCCTGGCACTTACCTCCCTAGTGTTAAGGATGTCTGCCAATCTAGTTTAAATCCTTCCTTGCAGTTGTAGCAAATTTGCCTGCCAGGACATTGGCACCCCCTCCTGTCCAGGTGCAACCTGTCCCTCTTGAACAGGCCACCTCTGCCCCAGAAAAGATCCCAACGATCCAGGAATCTGAATCCCTGTCCCGGGCACCAGTTCTTTCGCCACACATTCATCTGCCATATCCTTCTGTTCTTGCCCTCATTAGCACGTGACACTGGAAGTAATTTGTGTGGTGTGAATGTTACTTGCCACTGTTCTGGCCTGGCTGCATTGGAAATGGACTGCTTCTGTATCTGGGAAGTTGTGAATATTGCTGAACATTGTACAATCATCAGAAAATGGCCCCAGTTCTGAACATATAATAGAGAAAAGGTCATTAGAAGCAGCTGAAGATGGTTTGGTCTTCGATACCATCCTGCCGAACTCCTGCAGAGATTTCCCGGAGCTGAGATGACTGATGTCCAACAACCGCAACCATCTTAGTATATGCCAGGTATGGCTCTACCCACTAGAGAGTTTGCCCCTTGAATCCCATTGACATCAGTTCTGCTAGTGTTCCTTGATGTGTAACTCCATCAATAATGGCCTTGATGTCAAAGGCAATTACTCTCTTCTCCATGTTTGAAACAAGGCTGTAATAAGTTCAGGAGCTGAGTGATCCTGGTGGAAACAAAACTAATAGCACTATTGATGACACTTCTATTGCTTTCCTGATGATTGGGAGTAGACTGGGGCAGTAATTGGCCAGGTTGGATTTGTCCTGCTGTGTGTGTCCTGGTCATATCTGGGCAATTTCCCACTTAATTGGCATCTAATGTAACTCTATTGGAACAGTTTGGCTAGATGTGTGGCAAGTTCTTGAGCACAAGTCTTCAGTACTATTGCTGAAATGTTGTCAGGGCCTATAGCTGTTGCAGCATCCAGTATCTCCAACCATTTCTTGCTGTCATTTGGAGTAAATAGAATTGGCAGAAGACTGGCTGGGGATCATTGGAGGCTGAGTTGGCTTACGTAGTTAGTATTTGTATCTGATGATTGCATATGCTTCATTGTAATGTTTTGCATTCTGCTGGGTTCTATCATTGAGGCTGAGGGATACATGTGGAGCTTCCATTAGTGAGTTATTTACTTGTCCACTACCATTTACGACTGGATATGGATGTCTAAGCAGATCTTAGAACTGATCTTACTTGTGGGATTGCTTAGTTCTGTTTGGTCACTTCAAGTTGATGCCTCCTGTTTGGGTTTGCTTGGCACTGCTCCTGATGTCGTCTCCTGTGCTTTCCTTTGAACCAAGGTTGATCCCCTGCCCTGAAGGTGATGGTACAGTGGGAATATGCTGGGTCATGACGTTGTAGATTGCACTGCAGTAAGATTATGTTGCTGCTAATGGCCACAGTGCCTCACGGATGCCCAGACTGGAGTTTCTAGATCTGTTTGAAGTCTGTCCCATTTAGCACAGAAATTAGTGTCTCACAATGCAAAGTATGGTATTACCAGAGCGAAGGTGAGACTTCACTGCAGAGTCCTTGGTGAGATGGTCACTGTCATCTGTCCATGACAGTATTGGCATCTGACACAGGTAAGTAGGTGAGGATGAGGTCTAGTCTGTTTTTCCCCTTATTGGTTCTTTCACCACTGTCCTATTCCCAGACCTCACTCCAGCTTCTTCGACTGTCCACGTGGTTGTTTGGTTTCTGACTACTACTTTTCAAAAATTTCCCATTCCCAAAGCATTCAGAAACCTGTTTTTTATTTTGGTTTTTGAGATATGTCTGTGCATATTTGTTGTTTGTTGTATGTTGTGTGTTTAAAAGCAAAGTGCTAGAGAATCTCAGCAAGTCTGGCAGCACCCAGGGAGAGGGAAACGGTCGAGATTTCATGCTAAAGCTAAACTGTTCTAAAGTCATTATTGAACTCCATGTTGACTGGGTTTTTCTCTCCACAGGTGCTATCAGACCTGCTGTATTTCTCCAGCACTCTGATTTATTTAGGTGTTTACCCCACTTCTAATTTATGTTCTGCAACCTTTAGCATTTGAGGGTATGATGTGATGTCTCAGTAACTGCCCTCTCCCCTTGGTGCTTGATTTTTATGTTCAGCTTATTTTGTTCACAGCGAAAACATTCTCAATAAACTTTGTCATGTTTGGCTCTCCAGCTAATAAGGTTAAAACAGTACATGCTATGACATAACAAGGTTTAGAGCTGGATGAACACAGCAGGCCGAGCAGGAAAGCTGATGTTTCGGGTCGAGACCCTTCTTCAGAAATGCTATGACGTTTTAGTTTACATTGATCAATGTTAATGGCTTGATGGTAGTGTTTAAAAGTACTGGGGATCGTTTTAACTTGAAGTGATAGAGTTGAATATCTATTGTATCATCATTTTTTCCTTGACCCAAATAGAACAGAGAATTGCATGGGAGTAATTTCTTGGTATAAACTGAACCAAGAAGAATAAGAATCCGAATGCGCAAAGAGGAGAGATTTTAACCTATGAAGACTATTCTCATTAAAGAGAATGCTAACTGAACCATGGCTGGATTATCTATGCATGTCAATCGAATAGCATTTAAAGCTTTCTGTTCCTCCTCCTCCTTCATCTTGTAACACTTTTTAAAGGGTTTTGTTTCTTCCCAATCTCTTTTTTTTTAAAAAAAAAAGAAATTTTGTTCTCCACACCTTCAATTTTCTGACTTTTCTAGAAATCGCTAAAGAATGTGTATGCCTGCAGTGTTCTCAAACACTGCTCATTTGCTGGCCCTTCATCTGTGGAGGGGGATGAGGTGGTTGGCTCGACAGCTAAATTGACTCAAAGTAAAATTGCAATTGATCTCTATCCCACCACCCTCCTTCATCTAATGGAAACACATAGTGATGAAAAGGCATTAGAGCCAGTCCTTTTTCACTATCTTTCACAATTCCAGAAAGGTTACTGTAGAGTGTACTGACTGAAATGACATTGCATCACTTATAAGTGAATGGATCTGTGGTATTTCCTGTTTTTGAGTACAACGCTATTACTGGGCAAAGGAAGGGAGTGAGACCATACGTTACTTTGATACAGTGGATTGAATGTTTTTGTTACTTGTCACTAACTGTGGGACTGCCTCTAGTTTCTCAGAGTTCCTTCAGGAAAGGTCCCAGTTCATACTCTAGTTCTAGCTGTAATGTGTCTTCAAAAGAGCAGATCGTCTCGAGCAGTACTTCCAAAGTCCCCCACACTGTTTCTCCATTGGGATCAGCCAGCCATGTTCCTGCTCCACAGGTATATGTGCTATTTTATTGTTTGAAGAAATGCTCAAACATTTGTCCCATTCTCTGCACAAGAGGTATCTTTTTTCTTCCCCTTTGTTTCAGAGAGCTAATTCAAAGCGTGGAGCTAAAGTGTCCAACAATGTGCGGAAACAGTATCTTGGCTTTTTTATTGAAGAGTTTTTGAAGACCTGCTCATCACGGCAAGCAGCAGTTAAAAAGGTTAGTACAGAAACTGACTGCAAGACTGGCAATTCCATGAAACTGAGTACTTTTTAGACAAGTGCAGAAGAGCTCCCCATGCTGAATTGCATTTGTAGAAAACAGTTTCTTACAGTTGCATTGGAGAATCTGTCATCTGGTCTGCAATTGTTTTGATACTTGGGATGGAATTTAGTGTGAGATGACAAAGATGAAAGACTGAATGCTAGCCGTTAGTGGTTGTCTAAATCTTTCGCTATGAATCTAATTTTGTTTGTAGTCGACATTTAACTGAAATCTGCTGTTTAAATTCTTAGGTTGCCAGTTTTAATAAGGCCTGCAGGAGAAGAACAGTTGGATTTAGTTGAAGCAACTGAAACTGCTTCCTCTAACTGGGTAACCTAGGCCTTTCCTGTTAGGAACGTATGAAACAGGTCAAATTAGGGCAGCTTAATAGTGCTGAGACTTGGTCTTGGAGGAAGGGAAAGAAGTGTTTTTTTTCCCCTAATTTCTACCTCCCAAGAATTATTTTCATTCCCTGTAGCAGAGTAAGAACAATTTGGTGAGTCTAGAACACAGAACATTACAGCGCAGTACAGGCCCTCTGGCCCTCTGTTGTGCCGACCTGTGAAACCAATCTGAAGCCCATCTAACCTACACTACTCCATTATCATCCATATGTTTATCCAATGACCATTTAAATGCCCCTAAAGTTGGCGAGTCTACTACTGTTGCAGGCAGGGCATTCCATGCCCTTACTACTCTGAGTAAAGAACCTACCTCTGACATCTGTCTTATATCTATCACCCCTCAATTTAAGGCTATGTCCCCTCGTGCTAGCCATCACCATCCGAGGAAAAAGGCTCTCGCTGTCCACACTATCTAATCCTCTGATCATCTTGTATGTCTCTATTAAGTCACCTCT